TGCTGCCTTCTAGACTGTCTCTTTATCCTTAACTTTTGCTATTTTAATTAGAATATGTCTTGGTATGGGCCACATTGGATTCATCTTATTGAATTTCTCTGTGCTTCCTGGAGCTGGATATCTGTTTTCTACCCCAAATTAGAAAAGTTTTCAATCATTATTTCATCAAATATTCTTTCTGTCCCTTTCTCTCTCTTCTTCTGGAATCCCTACAATGCAAATGTTAGGGTGTCTAATGTTATCCCAGAGATCTCTTACTCAATCCTCGTTTAAAAACGTATATTTTTTTTTCATTTTGCTATTGTGTTGGGTGATTTCGCTATTCTGTCTTTCAGGTCACTAATCTGTTCTTCTGTATTAGCTAATCCATTGTCAATTCCTTTTAATACATTCTTCATTTCAGTTATTATATTCTTTATCACTGGTTTTTTAAAAATATATTTTATTGACTTTTTACAGAGAGGAAGGGAGAGGGATAGAGAATTAGAAACATCGATGAGAGAGAAACATTGATCAGCTGCCTCCTGCACACCCCCTACTTGGGATGTGCTCGCAACCAAGGTACATGCCCTTGACCGGAATTGAACCTGGGACCTTTCAGTCCACAGGCCAATGCTCTATCCACTGAGCCAAACCGGTTAGGGCTATCACTGGTTTTTTTATTACATTTTCTATTTCTTTGTTGCAGAGCTCTCTGAGTTCCTCTATTCTATTCTCAAGTTGTTGAGCATCCTCCATACTGTTTCCTTGAACTCTTTATTATGCAACTAGAGGCCCAGTGCATGGAAATTCTTGCACTCAGGGGGTCCCTCAGCCTGGCCTTTGCCTTCTCGCAGTCTGGGAGCCCTCAAGGGATGTCCAACTGATGGCTTAGAGTGGGCCAAAGTTGCAGCCTGGCCTCCCTCTGCAGGAGGCGACTGGCAGGCCAATCAGGGAACGGTGAGTGGCTGGCCCCATCCTCCCCATCACCCCTCTGCCACTGCTGGTCCCTGCCACGCGCCCATCACTGTCCCTTCCCTCTGCCCACTGGAAAAAAGCAACTGTTTGACCCATATCAGTGATTTTTTTCTAATTCCAATTGCACTATATTCCATTCTGAGTTATTTAAAAATGTCAAATGTGTTTTTATTGATAGAATTTTTTAAAATTCATTGAGCAAATGTTTATGGAGAACACAGTACATGCCACACATTTTTGAGGGGCAATGGGGATTTATACAGCAATACATAAAACAGACAAGCATTTGTTTTATTGGAGCTTACATTCTAATCCTATATAATAAAGAGCTAATATGCTAATTAGACCAAACAGCAGAACGTCCCAAAGACCTTCCGGACAAAGCTGGGGCTGCAAGGGCCAGGCGAGGCTGCAAGGGGCTGCGAGGGCTGGCCAGGGCTGCGGGGGGCTGCAAGGGCTGGCTGGGGCAGCCGGGTTGCAAAGGCCAGCCAGGCCTGCGAGGGGGTGTGAGGTTTGGCTGAGGCAGCTGGGGCTGTAAGGCCCAAGCCCTTGCAGAATTTCATGCATCGGGCCTCTAGTTTTATTATAATTTGTAGTACATGCACTATTTGACTATTGATTATATACTTCAAAATTCATTTAAATAATAATTGTGTTTTATTGTGGATAATACTCTGCTTTTATAAATAGACTAGAAGCCTGTTGCATGAAGAGATTCGTGCAATAGGCCTTCCCTTCCCCTTGCTGCCGGCACTGGTTTTCCTCCAGCACCCGGGACCCAGGCCTTTGCTGCTCCGGCCGGAGCCTTCAGCCTTCCCTCCACGGCTTTGTACCTCCATATGCAAATTAACCACCATCTTTGTTGGGTTAATGTGCATACTCTCCTGATTGGCTAGTGAGTGTAGCAGAGGGACAGTCAATTTACACATTTATCTATTATTAGGTAAGATATTATTATGTTCAAACTCAAAGGACCGTATACATTTAGGTCAAACTCCAATAAATAAAAGTGAACTCTTCTTACTCTAGCCTGTGTGTGCACTTATAGTGAGCAGGAGTTCATCCATTTTCTAGGGTCTAACATTCCTTTCTGGGTTGACTCTCCTGCTAGATCATTCTTCTCTATGTTGAGTCAAAGTTTTCCTCTCAGTAACTTTGACCTGATTCTGTTTTCTAGAGAGATACACAAAAATAAATCAAATTCTCCTAAATAGTAAGTCTTAATTATTTTGGCACCACCATCATGTTCTTCATTATTTAATTTTTTTTAAACCCACTTCTTAAAAGACAAAAATTAGTCATTAGACTTTTACATAAGTCCAATAATTATTTTTAATGGGTGAGGTTTAAAAAAGAAAAAAGAGAGAGAATAGCACTGTAGCACCATCTATGGTAACAAAATGTCACTGCAGCCTCCTCACAGGGTGTGAACACCCGAATGAATACACATTGCACACATCCACCAGAATGACTAGTTTAAAAGGCTGCCAAAGTCACGTTGGTGAGAATGTGCTGTAATCAGAACTCCATATAATGCCCATGAGAATATAGGGAGTTTGCAATTCATTTGAGAAACTGTTTGGAAGTATCTTCTAACATTGAACATTTTCTTACTCTATGACTCAGCTTTTATTTTCTAGTAAAAGCCTGAAGCAGACTATACATACCAAAAGATATATATATAATAATTTTGCACAGAGCACTGTAGTAATATACAAAACCAGAAATAACCTGAGTGTCTACCAACAAAATAATGGATAAATAAATCATGGTAGTGGGAATACAATAAATTAGTATACCACCTTGATAGTGAAGCAATCATTAGTAGAAGCAAAAATATTCATGACTATCCTATATAATAAAAGCCTAATATGCTAAGTGTCTGGTCATCCAGTCTGCCGTTCAACCAATCAAAGGATAATATGCTAATGATATGCTAAGGCCGCTCAACCACTTGCTATGAGGTGCACTGACCACCAGGGGGCAGACGCTCCCACCAGTAGGTTAGCTTGCTGCTGGGGTCTGGCTGATCGAGACTGAGCTAGATGGGCCAGACACACCCTGGAGCCCTCCTGCATTCCCTCCTGTGTCCCTTCCTGGCCCTGATCATGCACCAGTGGGGTCCTTTGGCCTGGCCTGGCCTGTGCCCTCTCGCAATCTGGGAGCCCTCAGGGGATGTCAGAGAGCCAGTTTTAGCTCAATCCCACAGGCCAGGCCGAGAGACTCCACTGGTGCATGAATTCATGTACCGGGCCTCCAGTCACTAATAAAAGTCTGAGCTAAAGATGTCTGACACAAAGGAGTGCCATTCAATTTCTACTATGTTCACAATCAGAGTAATCCGTAGTGTTGAAGATCAGGACAGTTTCACTTTGGGGGGAAAAAAAGGAGGTAGTGATTTGGGTGTGGGCACAGGGAATGCTGGTAATGTTCCTTATTTTTTTTAAATTTGGGTGTGAGTATGTACACTTGGTGATAATTCATTGAATATAAATTATGATTGGTGCATTTTCTGTACATATGTTGTACTCAACTAAAAGCTTTTAAAAAAATACTAATTAGAATATGTTTAAATTTTTTTTAAGTATATTGGAAGATTATTTAACTCTAAAAATATTATTTGGTAGTAAATTCTTATAATTGTTGCTATTTTCATTTATTGAACAAATATTTGTTATCTACTAGTTGCCAGATACACACCTGGTTAAGCAGAAGCAAGGTCTCTGTAGAGATGTGGAACTAGAAAATAGAAAGTTGTGTCTTCTATAACAAAAAGAGAAGAGTCCAGTAGGGTTATATTTAATAAAAAATACAAAGTATCATTAATTGGAAAAATAATGGGCTAAAAAGGTAAAATTAAACAGTTTTAATAAAGTGTTATTACATTAGTTTCATGTAATTACAGTTGAGTAATCTACCAAAATAGGAGGACAGTACCTCTATAGAACTGACTTGAAAGAAAAGTTAAAAATTATTTCTAATTAGCATAATGGCTATTAAAATATTTGTTTTAAGTTGCTGAAAATACATGTTTCCTTTTGAGTAAGAAAAGCACTTCCTGCTGACTCCCAACCATGTGCTCATGTGCCTACACACTATACAGCCATTCTTTGTTTACAGGTACAATTAACACCAACATATGGCAACTGACTTTTGTTAATGCTTAAAAAAATATTTTCTGATTTCTGTCAACCTCATTAACCCCATCCAAGAGATGTAACAAGTCACAATGCCCACGTGGGTTTACTGCTTCAACTATTGGTTATCAGTCCCATCTGCATACTTTTTGAAAAATATAGATTTATGGCTCATCCTCAATGATTCTGATTCACTGGGACTGCTTTCCACTTCAGTGGAAGACAAGTACCTACCATGTAAGTTAACACTAACTTAAACTTGTCAATTGTCAAGAATTCTAAATAATAGAAATTGTTAAGTTTATTACTATCTCCATTGCTAGTTTCTTTTTCTGAATAGTCTCTACTATTTCAGCAAATAGCAGGCACAAGTAAATATTTACTCAACATATTTAATTGAGTAGGTTTTTAAGATCAATAGAAAACAAGTTTATTAAATTGAAAATAACACACCTATAAATTTGCTTAAAATTAAAATAATTTAAAGAGAAAATGGGATAAAAATAAATTTACACAATCTTTAAAAATTGTGGTAATACATACATGTCTTTAACATACTCCCACCAAATAGAATATCCATTTCCTATTACATATGGATTTGTATATTAAAGACTAAAACTTTAGAATAATAAATGACTGTATTGCCGAAACCGGTTTGGCTCGGTGGATGGAGCGTCGGCCTGCGGACTGAGGGGTCCCGGGTTCGATTCCGGTCAAGGGCATGTACCTTGGTTGCGGGCACATCCCCGGTGGGAGATGTGCAGGAGGCAGCTGATCGATGTTTCTCTCTCATCGATGTTTCTAACTCTCTATCTCTCTCCCTTCCTCTCTGTAAAAAAAAAAAAAAATCAATAAAATATATTTAAAAAATAAATAAATAAATGACTGTATTCATATTTCACTGGTAACATTTTATTAAAACATAACAAGTTTCCAACGTAAATAAATAGATTGGATTTATTTTGTATGGAAATTGTATTATTTAAAACTTCACAAAATAGAGACTCTTCATATTAAATGGTTAGGTCAAATTAATGTTATTGTTAAATCTTAATGCTGTTTTAGGGGTGAAACTCATTATCATTATGATGACAGTTGAACTGGTCATTAAGTAAATCCTATTTTAGAGCAGTAATTTGTAGTTATATGTTGGTGGTTGATGGCCATGGAATCTATAGTTACCAATAGTAGATATAGGTTCTGGTATGGAATGACAGTGGATGTTAAGATTTAATTTGCAGGCATCCTAACTACAGCTGTGATTAAAAGGTCATTATGAATTTGCCATTTCTGTCAAGTGGGAGTGATGATGTGATCTACTGTATTTACTATTAATAGAGGCAGTGTTTGGTTCAGATGAATAAGTAATGGATGGCTTTGAATAATATGTCAACAGAAGTTACAGTGCTTATAAATTCAAGTGAAGGGTTTAGTGATAGGTATTGTAGTAGTAAGTACAGTACAAATGATGGTGCATAGAAATGGTAGCATGACTGTGTGAACAATAAATGTGGTGGTACCTACTGTGAAATATGAAAAGTTACAGTACTAGCATATTTTGTTAATGTTGTCATACTATACACTCATTTGAAGGGGCAGTGAAATTGCTAATTGCACTGTAATAGGTTACTTAGAAGGTGATGATAATTTTCTATTAACAGGTAATATTGGTTATGGAGATTATAAATTCAGCTGAAGTCATGCTATTGTGTCTGTAAAGTCAGTTGGGTTAGCATCTGTGTTGATTTTATTCTTATTGAGGTGGTGGCAGTGGAGGTAGAAAATGACATTTTAGTTGAATCAGAAAGCAAACTAGATTCAGTCACTAATTGAGTCACTAGATTCATATACTTACTGTGGGCAACGTACATTCAGTTGAAGAACAAGTATTGGTGTCTGGAGATTCTGTTAAACTGATGCTAATTACACGTCCATTTAAATGGAAATTTTTCAAATTTGAGTTGAATTTGTTGAATGGTTTATAGTTGTACCTTAAGCTGGAGTGACAGGGGTTGTCAGAATGGATAAGAAAAAGTTGAAATGGTACTGTAAGCTATAACAGTAGATTCAGTAGAAGTTATTGTGATCACAGGCCCAGTAAATATGCAACTGGTACTCATATCTATAGGTGCAATAGAAAAGATAATTGTACTTGTAGTGCAATTCAGATGAAGGCACAATGCTTGCAGTTATGGCAGTAGGTTCAAATTAAAAGATGGCATTCATAGTTGTGACAAGGTGGTGGCTGCATAGCGGTTGTAGATTAGATAGAAGTAGTAGTAACCATTGGGTGGTGGTCTGAGTAGTAGTGTGGGTAGTTGTTGTGGTAGGTGCCTGCTGTGGTGATTATAAGTTCAATAGAGGAGCTAGTGGTAACTGTTATTATGGCCACAGGGGTAGCGCTGGCAGTAGTTGTGAAAATCCGTTCTGTTAAAGTGGAGCTGCTGCTGTGGTGGTGGGTTTATTTGAAATGATATCAGTGACTGTGGTGAATATAGGTTTAGTAGAAGCAGTAGTGTTGTCCCACATGGTTGCAGTCTTACAGATAGCACTGGAAATTATTGTGGCAGTTGATTAACTTGAAATGGTGGTTGCAGGTTCAGTAGAAGACTGACTGGTGGCTGCTGTGTTTGTAGCCTCAGGAGAAGTGCTGGCAGTAGGTGTGGTAGTTGGTTTACTTGAAGTGGTTTCTGCTGATAAAGTGGTTGTAGATGGAGTGGAGGCAGTACCGGTAGCTGCTGTGGTTGTAGCCTCACTGGTAGTGCTGGCAGTAGTTGTGGTTGTTGCTTCTGTTGTAGGTTTGGTTGAAGTGGTAGCTATTGCTGTGGTGGTTATAGGTTCAGTAGAAGCAATAGTGGTGTCAGAAATGGTTGTAGACTCAGTAGGAGTGCTGGCAGTGTTTGTGGTAGTTGGTTCACTTGCAGTGGTTTCTGTTGCCATCGTGGTTGCAGATGTGGTAGAAGTGGTACTGGTGGACTGTGTGGTTGTAGCTGCAGGGGTACTGCCAACAGTAGTTGTGGTAGTCGTTTTAGTTGTAGTGGGGGCTGCTGTTGTGGTTGTAGGTCCAGATGAAGTATCAATTGCTGTGGTGGTCATAGGTTCTGCAGAAACAGTGGTATCTGATGTGGTTGTAGCCTCAGGGGCAGTGCTGGACGCTGTGGTGGCAATTGGTGCACTTGATGAGGTGGCTGTTGTTGTGGTTGCAGGTTCAGTAGAAGTTGTAGTGGTGGCTGTTGTGGTTGTAGCCTCAGTGGTAGCACTGGCAGTACTGGTAGTTGGTCCTGTTGAAGTAGTGGCAGCTGTGCTGGTTGTAGCTTCAGTTGAAGTGGTTTCTGCTGATGTGGCAGTTGTAGATTCAGTAGAAGCAGTAGAGATACTGGTGGTTGTAGCCTCAGTAGTGCTGGCAGTGGTTGAGATAGTTGGTTCAGTTGAAGTGGTAGCTGTTGTGGTGGCTATTGTAGTGATAGCTGCAGTGGTACTGCTGGCAGTTGTGGTAGGTGGTTCTATTGATGTGGTGGTGGCAGATGTGGCAGATGTGGTGGCAGATGTAGTAGTTGTGGTTGTTGCTTCGGTTGTAGGTTTGGTTGAAGTGGTAGCTATTGCTGTGGTGGTTATAGGTTCAGTAGAAGCAGTAGAGATACTGGAGGTTGTAGCCTCAGTAGTGCTGGCAGTGGTTAAGATAGTTGGTTCAGTTGAAGTGGTAGCTGGTGTGGTGGCTGTTGTAGTGATAGCTGCAGTGGTACTGCTGGCAGTGGTGGTAGGTGGTTCTATTGATGTGGTGGCAGATGTAGTAGTTGTGGTTGTTGCTTCAGTTGTAGGTTCAGTTGAAGAGGTAGCTGTTGTGGTGGCTGTTGTAGTGATAGCTGCAGTGGTACTGCTGGCAGTGGTGGTAGGTGGTTCTATTGATGTGGTGGCAGATGTAGTAGTTGTGGTTGTTGCTTCAGTTGTAGGTTCAGTTGAAGAGGTAGCTGTTGTGGTGGCTGTTGTAGTGATAGCTGCAGTGGTACTGCTGGCAGTGGTGGTAGGTGGTTCTATTGATGTGGTGGCAGATGTAGTAGTTGTGGTTGTTGCTTCAGTTGTAGGTTCAGTTGAAGAGGTAGCTGTTGTGGTGGCTGTTGTAGTGATAGCTGCAGTGGTACTGCTGGCAGTGGTGGTAGGTGGTTCTATTGATGTGGTGGCAGATGTAGTAGTTGTGGTTGTTGCTTCAGTTGTAGGTTCAGTTGAAGAGGTAGCTGTTGTGGTGGCTGTTGTAGTGATAGCTGCAGTGGTACTGCTGGCAGTGGTGGTAGGTGGTTCTATTGATGTGGTGGCAGATGTAGTAGTTGTGGTTGTTGCTTCAGTTGTAGGTTCAGTTGAAGAGGTAGCTGTTGTGGTGGCTGTTGTAGTGATAGCTGCAGTGGTACTGCTGGCAGTGGTGGTAGGTGGTTCTATTGATGTGGTGGCAGATGTAGTAGTTGTGGTTGTTGCTTCAGTTGTAGGTTCAGTTGAAGAGGTAGCTGTTGTGGTGGCTGTTGTAGTGATAGCTGCAGTGGTACTGCTGGCAGTGGTGGTAGGTGGTTCTATTGATGTGGTGGCAGATGTAGTAGTTGTGGTTGTTGCTTCAGTTGTAGGTTCAGTTGAAGAGGTAGCTGTTGTGGTGGCTGTTGTAGTGATAGCTGCAGTGGTACTGCTGGCAGTGGTGGTAGGTGGTTCTATTGATGTGGTGGCAGATGTAGTAGTTGTGGTTGTTGCTTCAGTTGTAGGTTCAGTTGAAGAGGTAGCTGTTGTGGTGGCTGTTGTAGTGATAGCTGCAGTGGTACTGCTGGCAGTGGTGGTAGGTGGTTCTATTGATGTGGTGGCAGATGTAGTAGTTGTGGTTGTTGCTTCAGTTGTAGGTTCAGTTGAAGAGGTAGCTGTTGTGGTGGCTGTTGTAGTGATAGCTGCAGTGGTACTGCTGGCAGTGGTGGTAGGTGGTTCTATTGATGTGGTGGCAGATGTAGTAGTTGTGGTTGTTGCTTCAGTTGTAGGTTCAGTTGAAGAGGTAGCTGTTGTGGTGGCTGTTGTAGTGATAGCTGCAGTGGTACTGCTGGCAGTGGTGGTAGGTGGTTCTATTGATGTGGTGGCAGATGTAGTAGTTGTGGTTGTTGCTTCAGTTGTAGGTTCAGTTGAAGAGGTAGCTGTTGTGGTGGCTGTTGTAGTGATAGCTGCAGTGGTACTGCTGGCAGTGGTGGTAGGTGGTTCTATTGATGTGGTGGCAGATGTAGTAGTTGTGGTTGTTGCTTCAGTTGTAGGTTCAGTTGAAGAGGTATGAGTTGCTGTGGTGGTTATAGGTTCAGTAGAAGCAGTAGTGGTGACAGATGTGGTTGTAGCCTCAGTGGTTGTCAGTAGAAGTTGTAGTGGTGGCTGTTGTGGTGGTAGACTTGGTGGTTGTACTGGCAGTAGTTGCAGTTGTTGCTTCAATTGTAGGTTCAGTTGAAGAGGTATGTGTTGCTGTGGTGGTTATAGGTTCAGTGGAAGCAGCAGTGGTGTCAGATATGGTTGTAGCCTCAGTAGTGCTGGCAGTGGTTGGGGAAGTTGGTTCAGTTGAAGTGGTAATTGTTGTGGTAGCTGTTGGTCCAGTAGTACCCATCGTGGTGGCCATTGTAGTGATAACCGCAGTGGTAGTGCTGGCAAGTGTGGTAGGTGGTTCTGATGAAGTGGTGGCAGATGTTGTGGTAGGAGGCTCAGCTGAAGTGGCGTCTGATACTGTGGTACTTATAGATCCAGTAGAAGTGGTGGTGGCCATTGTGGTTGTAGCCTCAGTGGTAGTGCTGGCAGTAGTTGTGGTTGTTGCTTCAGTTGTAGGTTCAGTTGAAGTGGTTTCTACTGATGTGGCGGCTGTAGATTCAGTAGAAGCAGTAGAGATAGTGGTTGTTGTAGCCTCAGTAGTACTGGCAGTGGTTGAGATAGTTGGTTCAGTTGAAGTGGTAGCTGCTGTGATGGCTGTTGGTCCAGTAGAAGCCATCGTGGTGGCTGTTGTAGTGATAGCCGCAGTGGTACTGCTGGCAGTTGTGGTAGGTGGTTCAATTGATGTGGTGGCAGATGTAGTGGTAGTAGGCTCAGCTGAAGTAGTGTCTGCTGCTGTGGTAGTTGTAGATTTGGTAGAAGCAGTGGTGGTGGCTGTTGTGGTTGTAGCCTCAGTGGTAGTGCTGGCAGTAGTTGTGGTTGTTGCTTCAGTTGTAGGTTCAGTTGAAGTGGTTTCTACTGATGTGGCGGCTGTAGATTCAGTAGAAGCAGTAGAGATAGTGGTTGTTGTAGCCTCAGTAGTACTGGCAGTGGTTGAGATAGTTGGTTCAGTTGAAGTGGTAGCTGCTGTGATGGCTGTTGGTCCAGTAGAAGCCATCGTGGTGGCTGTTGTAGTGATAGCCGCAGTGGTACTGCTGGCAGTTGTGGTAGGTGGTTCAATTGATGTGGTGGCAGATGTAGTGGTAGTAGGCTCAGCTGAAGTAGTGTCTGCTGCTGTGGTAGTTGTAGATTTGGTAGAAGCAGTGGTGGTGGCTGTTGTGGTTGTAGCCTCAGTGATAGTGCTGGCAGTAGCTGTGGTGGTTGCTTCGGTTGTAGGTTCAGTTGAAGTGGTAGGTATTAAAGTGGTGGTTACAGGTTCAGTAGAAGCAGTAGTGGTGTCAGATATGGTTGTAGACTCAGTGGCAGTAGTGGCTGTGTTTGTGGTAGTTGGTTCACTTGCAGTGGTTTCTGTTGCCATCGTGGTTGCAGATGTGGTAGAAGTGGTACTAGTGGACTGTGTGGTTGTAGTCACAGGGGTACTGCTAGCAGTTGTTGTGGTAGTTGTTTCAGTTGTAGTAGGGGCTGCTGTTGTGGTTGTAGGTTCAGTTGAAGTAGTATCGGTTGCTGTGGTGGTCATAGGTTCTGCAGAAACAGTAGTGGTGTCTGACGTGGTTGTAGCCTCAGGGGTAGTGCTAGAAGTTGTGGTGGAAGTTGGTGCACTTGACGAGGTAGCTGTTGTTGTGATTGCAGGTTCAGTAGAATTTGTAGTGGTGGCTGTTGTGGTGGTAGAGTTGATGGTCGTACTGGCAGTAGTTGTGGTTGTTGCTTCAGTTGTAGGTTCAGTTGAAGAGGTATGTGTTGTTGTGGTGGTTATAGGTTCAGTGGAAGCAGCAGTGGTGTCAGATATGGTTGTAGCCTCAATAGTGCTGGAAGTGTTTGGGGTATTTGGTTCACTTGAAGTGGTTTCTGCTGCCATGGTGGTTGTAGATGTGGTGGAAGTGGTACTGGTGGCCGGTGTGGTTGTAGCCTCAGTGGTAGTGCTGGCAGTAGTTGTGGTTGTTGTTTCAGTTGTAGGTTCAGTTGAAGTGGTATCTGTTGCTCTTGTGGTTGTAGGTTCAGTAGAAGCAGTAGTGGTGACAGATGTGGTTGTAGCCTCACTGGTAGTGCTGGCTGTAGTTGTGGTTGTTGCTTCTGTTGTAGGTTCGGTTGAAGTGGTAACTATTGCTGTGGTGGCTATAGGTTCAGTAGAAGCAGTAGTGGTGTCAGATATGGTTGTAGCCTCTGTGGTAGTGCTGATAGTAGTTGTGGTTGCTGCTTCGGTTGTAGATTTGGTTGAAGTGGTAGCTATTGCTGTGGTGGTTGTAGGTTCAATAGAAGCAGTAGTGGTGTAGGATCTGGTTGTAGCCTCAGTCGTGCTAGCAGTGGTTGAGATAGTTGGTTCAGTTGAAATGGTAGCTGTTGTGGTGGCTGTTGGTACAGTAGAAGCCATCGTGGTGGCTGTAGTAGTGATAGCCGCAGTGGTGGTGCTAGCAGGTGTGGTAGGTGGTCCTGCTGAAGTGGTGGCAGATGTCGTGGTAATAGGCTCAGCTGAAGTGGTTTCTGCTACTGTGGTGGTTGTATATTTGGTAGAAGCGGTGGTGATGGCCGTTGTAGTTGTAGCCTCAGTGGTTGTGCTGGCAGGAGTGGTAGGTGGTCCTGCTGAAGTGGTGGCTGCTGTGCTGGTTATAGCTTCAGTTGAAGTGCTTTCTGCTGCTGTGGCAGTTGTATAGTGAGCCGAAGCAGTACTGATAATGGTGGTTGTAGCTTCAGTAGCAGTGCTGGCAGTGGTTGCAATAGTTGGCTCTGTAGAAGTGGTGGCTACTGTTATGGTGGTGGGTTCAGTTGAAGTGGTAGCTGCTGTGGTAGTTGAAGGTTCAGTAGAAGTTGTAGCAATGGCCATGGTGGTGGTAGCCTCAGAGGTAGTGCCAGAAGTTGTTTTGGTTGTTGGTTTGCCTGACGTGGTAGCTGCTGTGGTGGTTGAAGATTCAGTGAAAGTAGTACTGGTGGCTGTTGCGGTTGAAGCCTCCGTGGTAGTGCTGGCAGTTGTGGTAGGTAGTTCTGTTGAGGTGGTGGCTGCTGTGGTGACAGTAGGTTCAGCTGAAGTTTTGTCTGCTACTGTGGTGGTTCTGGATTCTCTAGAAGCAGTAGTGATGGTTATGGTTGTAGCCTCAGTTGCAGTGCCTGAAGTCGTTGTTGTAGTGGTTTCAGATAAAGTGTTGCCTTCTGCTGTGGTGGTTTCTGTTTGAGCAGTGGTTGCTGCACTAGTAGATTCTGTTGAAGGGCGACCAGTGGTTGTAGTGATGGTAGTTGAAGTGGGTGGTGTGGTAGAATCTGTTATGGTAGTGGGAATTATAGGCTCAGAACTAGTTTCAGTTGCAGATGAGGTTGTCTCATGGTTTGAGGGAAAGTGGATAACAATGGAGGTATTGTTTTTCCCATTATACACCAAAGACACTATGAGTACTCCGATTGCTGTTGTTATCACACAGGCTAAGAGACAAACCAGGAAGATTTTCCACAGAGACCAGTCACTAAAGAAATTTCGTGTCACCTGGAAAGGATGTATACAAAATTACTGAAGATAAAACCAAATGTTTCAAAAAAATTAATACCATTGAAAATCCTTTTTTATATATTACCTTACTGAAAGATGGTATATACACAAAACACTATTAATAGCTTTTAATCATAAAAAATGACTCAAATTTAAGATTTCGTTTAAGAAAGACTTGGTCCTTTTACTGTCTTTAATACAGGAACAAATAAGTTTCTACCAATTTCTCGTGTTTTCTTTTCATATATCTATATCTCAAACTTTAAAAAAAAAAAGGTAATCAATGTCTTCTTAGAAACTTTATATTCCTGCCACTATCAAAAGTTTCTATACATGTGTGGTGACGGCTGTACACCGTGATTTGAGTGACCCAAAATATCACCTGATTAAATCTCCTCCCCTTCTGGCTTGTCAGCTATCAGAAATTTAGCTTCTTTGAAGCCTTCGATTTTAAGTGCATTGATTAATGGCTTGTCAAATTTCCTAGCTAATTTTTCATACAGATTAGCATTTGGCAGGATGAAATTTAAAATCTGAAAACATTTGTTGAAATCCCACATCTGTTGCCACCAGTTATTTCCATTGGGTAAAATACTTACCCCTTTGATGGAATCCTTTCATCCATAAAAATGGATGTGATAAGCTTAGAATAAGAACTAACATCAGTAAAATTACTTTATAAATTTTAAAATACTATTTATATAACAAATTACAGTGGAACCTCGGTACTTGAACTTAATTCGTTCCAGGAAACTGTCCGAGAAGCGATTTGTTCGAAAACCAAACATTTTTTTGCATAAGTAAATTGCATGAGTTAGTTCCAGATCCCCCAAATGATTACTGGTTTTAACCTTTCTTATATACAGTACAAGTCTAATGTAATTTATAAACAAACACTTCTTTTCTTAAATTTATCAAACCCCCTACTAGCCTTAAACGAATCTCTTTCAGCACTTGTTCCAGGTGTGTCTTTTAGGAAGTCAGGTTGGGGCATTTTGCTTTTTCACATATCACCGCCTCCAAAATGCTGATACTGTCTCGGGCTAACTGCGTTTTCATTTATCCAAATCAACAACAGTTTTTCTACCTCTGTGATCATTGTTTCTTTTTTACACCCCATAGCAATATTAGCACTCTTGATGGCCTCTTTAAGGTTTACTAGTAAAGTTGTGCTAATCACCCATTTGTCAGCAACAAAAGTAAAAAGAAACCACAAAAATATTCACAGCGTGATTTCCTGAGATGTTACCAAACCCTAAGTTTCTGGGTAAACTGACTGGGATTCTCTCCTTTGTTTGTGGCAGTGAGGCACTTTTTGTCATGCTAAAGTACCAAAGACATTTGTTTCCTGAGCAACTTGGTGGAGAACCAAATTGTTTGAAATGGGAGACATTTGAGAATCGAGGTTTGACTGTATATATAAATATATATGTAATTTAATATATATAATTTATAGATTTACATATATATATAATTTGTTATTGTAGAGGAAACACTGCATAGTGTAGAACATGTAAGTCTTCAGATCAGAAAGTCTTGAATTTAAGTCCCATACCATTAATATTCTAACCAAGTTTATTTACTTGTCTAATTCTCAATTTGCCTTATATCAAAAGTGGGGATAATTATATCTATCTCAAAGTGTTGCTGAGAAAATTAAAATCAGAAATATCCTCCTTACATTCTTGCAGAAGGCAGTTCATTGTAGAAATTAGGAACACAGGCATGGAGTTTAACAGATTTAGGTTTAAATTTTAACTCCACCTTTCACTAGATGGATGATGCTATTTGGAAATTTGCATTATATTTCAAAGCCACAATTCCCTCATGGGGATCCTATCACCTATTGCACAGGATTACTGTAAAGAGTAAACAAGAAAACAATATGGGTAATGTTTCCCTGCACTTACTAAGTATTCAAAAAATACTTGCATTCACTAATTACTTCATTATTATCCCTTTTCCTATAACTGAAAGCAGATCACTAAAGGAAACAAGCACAGAGTAGATGTCTTTGGAGCTTGTAGAGTAGCTCTTAAAAGTCACAAAATATGGAACACGGTCTCAGATAGTAAATCTCAGTTTGGGTGCTGAGACGAGGTCCCACTAGGAAATTAGAAGCAGCACAAGGGCAGGGGCCACTAAGGCCAAGGATTTAGGACACCAACTGAGAAAACTCAAAGACAAATGGTCCCAGGGCATCCAGGTCTTAGAAAGGAAGTCAGAGTGGTAGGAGAGGAAGGACCATACTCACATCTCATGTAAGGGAGATAATTACCTCATTTTTTGTTTGAATCTTTAAAAAGAGGGGCAAGATTAATAGAAACTCGCATTAACCTGACCTGAGACCTGTGTGTCCATGCTATTACCACCACTAGCTAGCTGTGTGAATTCTTAAAACATTCTAAACTTCCCAGACCACTTTTTTTTTTCCCATCTGTCACTAAGTAAATGCATCTAAAATAACTTCCAGCTCTCTGATTGGTCTGGTTTGTTTGAGGTCATCAGAGACATGTTCTCTAAATAATTCTTATCTATCAAAAGCATTCTTCCACAATGTCTCCTGACAGAGAGTGTATCCTCTTTTATTTTGTCAGAGTCTCTCCAAATTGTCTCTATAGTAAGATTAACTGGAGGAGGGGTGTGGTCCAGAGCTGGAAGCACTGAACCAACTGGCAAGCGTCAGCATCAATCAATCAAACTCAAGTTTTCATCTTGGTGTGGAAGCGGAGGGGACTCAGAGATCAGACCTTAAGGTGAAGAAAATAGAATAACAAGAAAAGGGTCATGAATATGGGAAATCTGCTTCTGGATATCAGAAGTGCTAAATAGTTTCTAAGTCAAGGTTGAAAACACATGAGGTCAGAACCAGAAGGCTAACATAAGGCCCACAGTTGGTTAAGAGGCAGGAAGGGAAAGAGAGTGAGACAGATCACCCACAGACTAGGGCCCCAGAGCCTTAACACATGGCTTCATCTCCACCTGAGCAAGGGGCACAATGTCATTTACTGCCAATGCATCACCTACTCGGTCCTCAAAATAAAAGAGACCCCAAAACTTTATTTTCTTTGACCCTTAGATATTTTCTCCAAATTGTGTATGTTTTTGTCTTTTCATCATATCATTAACTCCTTAAATGAAAAGCCCCAAAAAACTATGTCTCTTGCATTCCCTCTCAGTGACATGTTTAAAGGATGCTGTAGATTTTCAAATGTTATCATTAATTGATTAAATGGTTTTCCTCCAAAATATTAGATCAAGAGTATTTCCATGAGAATTATAGCATAACCCAGAGAAAGAGTGTTGTCCCAAATATTACCTGACAATGTTGTAATTGTCTGTTTGGAAATTCCGGGTCTCCAAGGGTCCCTGTATTGGTGCAGACATTAGTTACATTGGTACCAATATCACAAGCTACATTAGTTGATGCTGGAAACCGACATGCTGAACTGTGAGCTTCATGGTTTTTTGTGCTCAGAAATGACTGTGTATAGGAAAGAATGGGGAAAAATAAGAACTATTATATTTGATGGCTAAAGTAATATAATTCTGACAAATATAAATCAGATTGTGGCATGACATATTTGATCAAATAAATTCATGTGAAACCTGCCTGAAAGAACAAATGAACACATTCATTATAACACATTCATTATATTTCTTCTCAAAACAAGGAAATCTAGATAGTCATCACAAGTTACAGTTAATTATTTTATATAATTACTGATGTTAAAATCCAGGAATAAGCATTATCTTTTATCCTCATCATATTTAATGCATTTGTTAACTATCATTATGTGGCAAGCAGGTATAAATCAGTTATATAAGAAAAAAAGTCTCACAGTGAAAATTCTAAGACCTTAAGGGCTATCAAGAACAATTTTTAGGCCCTGGCCAGGTGGTTAGGTTGGTTGGAGCATTAACCATTACACCAAAAGGCTGTGGGTTCAATTCCCGATCAGGGCACATACAAGAAGCAACCAATGAATGCATGGATAAGTGGAACAACAAAATCGATGTCTCTCTCTCTCTCTCTCTTTCCCTTCTCTCTCTTTCTCAAATCAATAAATAAACATTTAAAAGAGAACAATGTTTTTGGGTCATATTGAAAATGAGAAAACCAAGATTTAAAGAATTGAAGTGAGATTCTGGATAGAGTAAGTTGCAATAGGTCCACTGCAATCAATAATAATAACTGAAGAGCTTGACAAAAATTAAAATTAGATTATGTAAAATCTAAAAGAGTTTGAAAGAGCTTTACAGAAGTGGCCTAACAAGCATAGGCCATTTTCTCTTCTGGGTGCACCAGCTGATTCTGAGTATGAGCTGAGGTTCTGACTACCAAAAGAAGCGAGCAAAACTTTTGGTGTTCATGTGTGGCTGGCATGACAGATTGGAAAACAGTGGAGCCCCAACTCCAAGGCCTTAGCTACATTCTGGACTAGCCTAGGAGGCTGGGGGCCTGGAATGGAAAGTCCGAGTGAAGTCTCCAGCGGTATTCTAATAGTTAGGGTATAAAATCATGCTAGAACAAGGGTGGTCTGGGAAGTTTAGAATGTTTTAAGAATTCACACTGTTAGTGGCAGTTGGTTCTGCACTAAGGACATTTATCAGATTTTGAAGCTGCCTGGCATAGGAAGCTAAACAGTTCATTTTGAAACCTCCAAAAGTCAATCTCAAGAATATAGGCGCAAATATTATAAACAAAAGAATAGCAAATTAACCCCCCCCCCCACACACACACACACACTATATATATATACATAATGGTTAAAAATCATGACCAGTGAGATCTAGGTCTTTTTTTAAGTGAGGTTAATAGAAAAATAACCCAGATGCAGTTTTAAGAAAAAAGGGAATAGTGTGTGTTACATACTCATGGGAGTGTCCACTGTTACATGTAAATCTTTTATAGCTAAAAAAAAAAATTATAGAATTATCTAGATTTTTTTTCCTCATAGGACAACAGAGTTTTATTTAAATGTAACCTCTGTTGATTATATTGACTAAATTGTTACATGTAAATCTTTTATAGCTAAAAAAAAAAAATTATAGAATTATCTAGATTTTTTTTTCCTCATAGGACAACAGAATTTTATTTAAATGTAACCTCTGTTGATTATATTGACTAAATACCTAATTCTAAATGGTTATTGAAAAGGCTGTTGACATTGCTAGCCCAGTCTCTAAATTCTATTAGAATAAGGAAACTAAATATGTGTATAGACACCGTCCATGGAACAACTATAACTAAGAATAAAAAGGAGTATAATTGTAATTAAATACAGTCATGAAGAAATACACTTGGGCATAAAGAATTAGTCAATATTTATTTTTCTAAAAGTACAATGCCATGCCAAAGAAATAAAGAAAATAGAATAACTATGCAATGATTAAGAGAAGATATGATACACACAGGCACTTTAATGAATTTTCTGGGGTTTTTTCACATTTTTTAAAACTTTATTTTTTAGAAGAGTTTTAAGTTTAGAACAAAATTAATAAGGAGATACAGAGATTTCCCAAATACTCTCTAGAGCTCACACATGCACAGCCTCCCGCTTATAAGCATCACTCATTAAAGTGATACTTGTATTTTTTTTTCCCATGGATGAACTTACATTGACACATCATAATCACCCAAGGTTCACACTTTACCTGAGGGTTTACTCTTTTATAAACTTTTTGTTGTTGTTGTTGTTGACACCATTAACAGATGTCCTCATTTTCCTCCCCTTTGCCCACCTCCACCCAGCCCCGTCCCCTTCTCTCTGTTTTTAAATAGATAACTTTGAATAAATCACAAAGATTTATATTTCATAAAAGTGTTGTATTTCTATGTAGTATTAGTATTATAGCTGTTATTCAGCTATTCAGTTTTCTTGTGGCTGATAAACTTGAACATTTTTTGAACTTTTGTAATTAAATAAAAATTGCTGGCCATACCAACTTGACAGAATGGAATGAAGAAAGATGATGGATATCTACACCGAGAGTGGAGAACCCATGATACTGAAGCTCTGGGGGTAATATCATCCTCACTGTCCTAGTTTCCTCTCTAGTTTAATAAAAGTGGAATCTCTCAAAGTTAAAATTTTGAGCAGTTGGAGATCTAAGAATTATAGTTAATTAGCTCTTGGTAGAAGCCAATAATCTCTATTGTATATATCTAATATGCATCAACTATATTCATGGAATATAATTTTAAATTCTCTGCTCATCCCTGGAAAGAGATTAATTTACCATTTCGTGTTTCCTGAGAGGGAAAAGCAAACTCCTAAGTTATCCCTTTTTCTGTGGCCTTCAAATGCTACTTTAATCTATTAGTGAAAATGGTCCACAATGTATGCCCAAATATCCAGACGTAAAGTGAAATATTCAGTCAGTGATCAAGATCTGTGCCCTCTTTGAAAACTCTGCACTGTCTAGGGAAATCTTCAGGATGACTAATTTCTCACTGAAGAGAAATCTTCAACTGAGCACCTTGACACTGTGGAGACAGTGAAAGAGATGCAAGGCCAGAGGGACTGTGAAGAAATCTTCAGGGGAAGAGGATGCTGACCTAGAATCAAGAGAACAATTTCTCTGCCCTGTAATCCCTTGTCAGTGCACGGGGACAAACATACTTTTCATCTCAAAATCTAACTGTCCATTCACACTTACACTGTTTTCATTCAACACAATTCCTTTTCTATATCTAATGATCGAGGCTCTAGACAGACATGCACAGTTACATAAAAGGCAATCCCAACATACACAGTACTATTTTTTTTCTTTTAAAAACATAAGCAATAGTCAAATAATATTGTATATAACTGAACTCTAAAAGTTAACCTTAATACAATGTTTTACTAAGAAAAGAAATTCATAAGTAGTTAAGTAGAGATCGGTCTAAAGGAATTGCTAGATAATTTGATTCCTAGACCCAACTTTCATTTATAAGATTATCTTATGACTTTGAAAGATATATAGTAATCTTTGTGTTCTAACAAATCTATACATTACACTAAAATACTAAGTGGTTAACATAAAAATCTATATATCCCATTTTAAAAACACAATTTGTTAATGCAATCAAGTATAGAGTGTTGGCTTATGTTTGAATTATGATAGCTGCAGAGAATTATTTGAACAGGTTATGAAATTGTTACCCAAGATTGCTAATATCTTCTATTAGTGAGTGTTAAAATAAATGCCTCAATTATGCATACATTGCTATGCAGAAAAAAATTAAAAATTTCTAATTAATAAGTAGTAAGTAATAGCTAAAAGTTGGCTTCCATATAAAACCTTTATTAAGAATTCCTTTTGAGGAAGAACCATGTCATAACAAAAAATATATATATTAAAGTTCTATAAACATTGAACACAAGACTCTGAGCTATCAGAACGTACCCGAGTGGTGCCACCAATACTCTCCGGCTGGTTTCCAGAGTGTTCAATATTCACTATGTATTTCCCATGTTTTTTGTCCATTTTTCAGCGGCCGATATCACAAACTCAACTCCAGAAACATTTTTCAGCCTATTCATTGCCCTTTATAGCTGAAACCTTGAGAAATAATTGTGTTGATTAATATTAAATCTACTATGAGACATCAATGTGTGGATTAGACAAAATAATAAATAATTATTATTTATATGGGATCCACCTTAAGGAAGAAGTGGGGTGTAAAGCAGTTACATAAGAAAACAAGCACATCGATCCCACCTCTGTGAATACACTCTAAGGACTACTCCACGAGGCAGCCTGCCTAGGGGAGAAACTGCAAGCATCCAACTCTTCCCTCTCCCTCCTATCACATCATCTCACAGAACCCTTCCTTCCAACTCCAGCAATCGCCCAAGACAGAATTCTGAAATAAGTGAATGTTGCTATTGCTTCTTTACTAACCAGGCATGAACATCTTTCCCCTCTTATTGGCAGTGACTTTAAGACACTCATGACTCACTCAGTCGTGACTTCTCAGGTTCCTCCCCAGCTCTAGAACTTGTTCAATTTATTCTCTCTCTCTCTCTCTCTCTCTCTCTCTCTCCTTCTGGAAAAAATTAATCTAACCTGGCTTATACTTCCTCAAGCCCCAAAATACAGATAGTTAATCTGGTGAACAAATCTCTGTGAATGCATTCACTGGGGTCCATTTCTGTTCTCTTCTTGTGGGATCTATTTGGCATGGTTCCCCAGAAGATTACTTAAGATCCTGCTTACAATTTAGTAACAGAACACGTGGGTAGATAAAGCTCTTTTGACTTCTGTGAATTTTACTCAAAAGCAAATTACTTTTTTTTTTTTGTAGAAATAACTTTAGCATGATCTAAAAGACAGTTGGCAAGATTTAAGAAAAGACTTTTATCTCAAATGAAGTTATCAATCAGCTCCCAGCGTATATATCCAGGGAATCGCAAAGAAAACTGGTGCAGAAAGTTTTTGATGAAAAATGGTGCTTACATAACCTAAAAGTCGAACATTATCTTTTCAGTAATAATTACCATATAGATAATTATTGGCAAATGAAGCAACAAAGACAAGGTACTTACACTTTTTTGTTGAAAATGTCTCAGGTAGCACTTTTTATCTACCCAGATAACTATCAGGTTTCAATGATAAGAATTAGCTGATAATTCTCAGAGTTGCAAGAAGTCTGAGAGATCTTGTAGTTCAGCCTTGTTGATTTCAAGTTGAGGAAATCTGTGTCCAGAGAGGGGAAGTGGTCAAATCACTTGTATAGTGGAACCCGGTTTCCTTTTCAGTCTAATATTCTCTCCATAACTAGTGACTCTGCAAAAAGATGGACAGCCTAGTAGGAAGTCAAACAAATGTCCTTTTGAAAACAAAGTGAAACAAAAATTCCAGACGTGAGTTGGAAAGGATCTGACATGGGGCTCCCATTATACCCTGGAGCTTTCTGAGGCTCACTGAACCAGACTTTCAGGGGCAGGATCTGAGAGTCTGACTTTTTGGCCAAATGTCAAGTAATTCTTATTCAAACAAAGTTAGAGAAATATGTTAATAAACAATGATTCCAACAATGGACATGGAGTATCTTCTTATTTTTAGGAAGAAAATAGGGTGTGTGAAGGAACCTCAATTTTCTTAATATTTTTAAAGAGATAAGTTTTTAAATTGCTTATTCGTTCAACCAGCACTATTGAATCTCTACTATACTCAGGCACTGTGCAAGGTGCTAAGTATTCAATGGTGAATAACTATTCAATGGTGAATAAGAGTCAAGATTCCTGCCCTCCTGTGATTATGTATTAAATATTTTTATCACTTCTGAAGTTCTTTTATAAATTCATTCTTTAGCTAGAGGTTTCATTGGCATTCCATTACTAACCAGAAGCAATGTAAAATGGCCCTAAGGTCTACAGAACATAAAAGGCTCGAAAAATCTAGGGAAGGAATTTCTTCTAAGGAGTAAGAGACAGTGCTGTGCCCACTCCATGCTGAAACTGAGCCAATGAAACTGTGGCTTCTGGGGCTGTGTAAGTAGAATGATCAGGTAATGTATCACTCCAAACCAAAATTCTTTTGTGAGCAAAAAAAAAGCAGTATTAATAATTTAATTTCACAGAGACAACACTATCCCATGCAAACAAGGACATGTGGTCACATAGCTATAAGGAACTCATGTGAGTTAGAAGATTCACTTGTACTAACCATGACCCATCTGGATAAGCCAATGAATTTAAAAATCAATTTAATATCCACAGTGAACACATATTTCAACTGAACAGAATACATTTTTTACTTGAGATTTTTTTTTAAATCAATTATGACATTGTGGTACTAAGACATTTAAATTTTGCACTGGAGTTTCATAACCATTGAGCAGGTGAAAATGCATATCATTAAGTCACTGACAAACTAAAATCCCATCCTCACTATCATTAGTTTGATTAACTATTGCAAGAATCAAAGAATGAACAAGTATGTTACTATGCACTTACATTTTTAGTATAAAATTCAAACTTTCTCTGTTTTTCAAAAAAAAGCTGTTTGTACTTTTACTCTATCACAAACCAACAGCTAGAGTAGACCGCACCTGAATAATTACAATGTGCCAAGGAATACAGGTAACTCTCATTGCTGTGCTGAATACCTCCTAGAAAAGCGCTTTGCTATCTGCAGAATTTTAAGCCAAAAGAATTTGGAACTCTACTAATTGAGAGGGTTGACAGTCTTTTAACAGCTGGTAATTTTTCTTTAGACAAAAGAATGCAAAACCTGTTACCATGTCACCTGTTATAAAATGAACCACACTGTAGTCTAAAGATTACAACAAAATCACTTTATTGATCAAGTTACCCACTTCAAATACTTCAGTGACTGAAATTTCACCAAGATCTGATACTCATCAAAATATCATATTTTTGCTTTGGTCTTTCAGTGTGATGACAACCAATATGACAAGTCCAGCTCTCTCATCTTTAAAATTAATTTAGGCCAGAACATTATTTTGGTTCATCATGTTGTGTTGAGTGATTAAAATGATAACCAAGCATATATCAGATTTCAAAGCCTTCAGGACAGTATTTAGATTTGTATTTCCAAGTCATTAAACCTGATAAGATAATCTTTTGTAATGCAATGAGGTTGTAAAAGAAGTTTTGAAGTGTCAAGTCAAACCAATGCAAAGTTATGCGAAGAAAAAAAAATGATCAGAGGGAGAAACTGAAAAATCTATCTGTATATTTGTCCAAGAATCCACCTCTCTTGCCCTTCCCAACAAAAAAACAACTTAACTAAATTAAGGGGTCATTTTCCCTTCACATCAGGAGAAGGCTGCAGGAGGGCAGTCAGAGTTAGGTGAGAGGTAAGAAAACAAAAGTTTCATCCCTCACTGAAGAATGTCACTGGGGCACACCAATGGGTGCTACCCTACATCTGGGTGGCTTCTGACTCAGCCACATCTTGTCGTTAATATTATTGACATTTCTTGTGAAGGGCTGCCAATTCCAGTACATACCACTTTGATCATATCTAATCCTCCTAATACCTTCCTGAATTAAGTATTATTAGCCTATTTTCCTGATGAAATACCAAGGCATTTAGTGGCACTTTATAAGTCCCAAGATAAGTTTGTGTCTCCCCATTCATTCACCCAAGAAGTGGTTATTAAATATTTACTATATTCACTATGTCACATTAGATGCTGAGAAAAATATGGAGAATGGAGTGGGGAAAAGGTATTTAGAAATTTGACCTTTTATGGATGGAACAAAATCAAAAACCACCTAGCAACGGGTGACATTCCTCAGGATACATCAAGGCAGCATGGTTGTTTGCAGACATTACTAAGGAGAGGATGCTGGAATTCAGACCCAAATTACATCACAGGCTTAGAAAATCCCTGGGCAGAAGTCAAGACCTACTAGTTTGCAGACTGAATCTCTATCTGGACTTCAGACAAATGATCTCTATGAGGCTTCCCAACAGGTGCAATTCAATTTGTGAGGCCTGTTTTAACCCATCTTTGGCAGGCAAAATGATGACTTACCAAAGATATCCACATTCCTCTAAGGGGAATTAAGGTCCCAGATGAAACTGAGATGGCTAATAAGCTGACCTTAAAATAGATTATCCAAGTGGACCCAATGTAATCACAGGGTCCTTTAAAAGAGGAAGATGGAGACAGAAGTCAGTCAGAGAAAGAGTTGTAACTATGGGGGAAAAAATGGTTATAGAGAGGCAATTTTACTGGCTTTGTAGAAGGAAGAGGACCCCAAGCCAAGACATGTGGAAATACTCTACTAGAAGATGGATAAAGGGAGGTGGGGGGGAGGGTTCCCCAGAAGGTATATAGCCCACCAATATCTTGATTTTATCCCAGGTTGAACTTCTGACTTAAGAACTGTAAGATAATTTAGGGTGTTTAAGCCATAAAGTCTTTGGTATTTCTATAGCAGGCATAGAAATACACCATCCGTCAGGTCTCCCTTTAAATCAGTGGTTCTCAACCTTCCTAATGCCGTGACCCTTTAATACAGTTCCTCATGTTGTGGTGACCCCCAACCATAAAATTATTTTCGTTGCTACTTCATAACTGTAATTTTGCTACTGTTATGAATTGTAATGTCAAAATCTGATATGCAGGATGTATTTTCATTGTTACAAATTGAACATAATTAAAGCATAGTGATTAATCACAAAAACAACATGTAATTATATATGTGTTTTCCAATGGTCTTAGGCGACCCCTGTGAAAGGGTTGTTTGACCCCTAAAGGTGTCAAAAGTTGAGAACCGCTGCTTTAAATCTCACTCTCTGATTGGAATTGGTTCTTCTACTTTTATAATCTTCCTAGCATTGTGTTCTTTCTTGGTGCTCATCATAGTTGGCAATTATATATTCATTTTTGTGATTATTTAATATATATTATCCCTTTGGGACTCAAATTTCCACAAGGATGTAGACTGTGCAGTTTTTATCATCAATGCATCCCCAGCAACTGGCACAGTCCTTTGCACATGGTG